TCAGCAGGAGCTGGGGGGAAAGGGGTGGGGAGGGAGAAGGGAAGGAGAAAGGAAGCGTGTTCCCGGCCCCATTTACGTGCCACACACCTGTCCTAGCAGGATCCTGGCACGTCTGCTTCATAATATCACTGATTTTGGAACCAGAAATTAAGCGATCCGTTATGCTTCTTGAAGTAACACCCGCAGGCCCCAGCCAAGCTCAGGGTTCTTTTCGCAAGGTGCGGTGCAACTCTACACAAAAGCATTGTGCTACACGAAAGCGGGCAAGCTTTGCACCAATTAACAATGATTTTCCACTTCTGTGCCCTCCTGTCCCACTCGCTTGTCCAGCTGAAGGAGAAATGCTGCAATTACCTTTCGGTATTTCTCTGAAACGCCCCGGTTCTTGAGATCTGTCATCAGCCCTGGCAGGCTATTGCTGCTGTGCCGCTCGTAGTGCAGGGCATAAAGCATCACCAGCCGGGCAGCGTCAAACTCTGTCACCTTGGGGTTCTGCAGGAGGCGACGCACATTCTGCAGCAAGATAGAGAGCGGTATTAGCGGAGAGGCCTTCAAAGGACATTAAATCAGACTAATATCGAGCCCACTGCCTAGCAACAAAACTGCATGCAGGAGGAATGCAAGAGAATTAAATTGTGTCATAAGCAACAGAGCCCAGCTCCTTCTGTGCTCGGCGGTAAGATTTATTTGAGTACAGTCGAGTGCAAGTTGCTTTGGGGTCTTTTCATGAAGCTGGGAGTTCATAACCCAATTCTGCTGCCTGTTCTTAACAGGTTCCCGCATGCCTCCCCTGAAGGGGGGCACCAGCAGGCACTTACAGAAATCTTTACCCTCTGCCTTTCCCTTTCTGACTTGAGTAGAGCCAGAACTGGCCCACGGGTGCCACCGTCATATTGACGGCCAATAAAAAAGAGCTAGGACAGTCACACAGATCCTGCTTTCTTTTGGAAGGTGCGGGGCAGAAGCGCTGAAGGAGAGGCTGGGAGAGTTGGGGGTGTTCAGCCTGGAGAAGAGAAGGCTGCGGGCAGAGCTGAGTGCGGCCGGTCAGGGCTTCAAGGGGGCCCAGAGGAAAGGGGGGGACAAGCTTTTTAGCAGGGCCAGCTGGGACAGGACAAGGGGGGATGGCTTTAAACTGAAGCAGGGGGGGCTTAGACTGGATCTAAGGAAGAAATTCTTTACAATGAGGGTGGTGAAACCCTGGCAGGGGTTGCCCCGAGAGGGGGTGGAGGCCCCATCCCTGGGACCATTCCAGGCCAGGTTGGCCGGGGCTGTGAGCAACCTGATGTGGTTCAAGGTGTCCCTGCTCCTGCAGGGGGGTTGGGCTGGGTGACCTCTGGGGGTCCCTTCCCACCCAAACCATTCTATGATTCTAATTCTCAGATAACATCTGGATGCAAGAAGTGGAGGAGCAAGTATCAGGCATTTGGAAGCAAAGGAGGAAAGGAATGAGAGCATGAGAAGGAAAAGGAAGATCACAGCACTGGAGGTAAATACGGAAATGGACAGTACTTCTAATACACAGATCATTCATTTCTCTGCTGAATAGCACACAATACCATAAATACGAAGGGTGTGTGCCCCAAAGAGGCTGCTTGTTGAAGTACAGACCCTTTCCAGAAAAGTTTCCAAGCCCCTGGCGCATGCCATTTGCCCTCCAGGGATTGCAGGCAGGATATAACTGCTTGCGCCAGTTGACAGTTGGCCACAGAAGCGCTACACCTTCTCATTACAACAAAAAGCACTTATTTCCTCTCTGCAACCTCTCAGCCATCGTGTGGAGTCGCAGAGCTGAGATAATGGAGTTAACAGAACAAACACCGGAGCCAAGTTGGTAGCTTAGGTGAGCAGTGGGAGCAATAAGCTTCTTAACTCCAGGCTTGGAGATGGATCTCAAAGAACAGGCATCAACTACCAGATGCGTTTGCGGACATCTGGTTAGGGCTGGACAGATGCTTTAGGGCACAGCAAAGTCTGAAATTCTCCCCGTGCTGAACATTAAAGCAAAACAATCAGCCTGTATTAGCTCAAATGCATGGAGCAGAGGAGCTGCCAGTTCTGCAGTTGCAGAAATGGCGCGTCCAAGAGAGGGACGGAACCAGTTAGGATTTTTCCACTCTGTAAGCATACGTGACCTTCAAACGCTCCAAAAATCCCAGCACGTCTTTGCAAGGTTCTCCCACCCTCCCGATACAGGTAGGCGACACAGAGACGGTCAGTGAGCAGCTGTGAAACCACGCCGTTGTTTCTTACCATGCTGATTCTGCTATGTTTGCTGTGATTTGTTTGACTGATGCTGACTCGTTACAAAAATACAGGGTAAAATCCTGGCTTTGAGGAGGATCAACAGGAGTTTTACCATTAACCTTGGTAAGGTCAGGAATTCACCTGGGAGGGTAGGGACAGAGCCCCACGGAGATGTTTGCTTGCAGGATTTTGGTTCCTGTGCTGGCAGCGCAGTGGCAATGCTATATAAGCGGGAAGCGCGTAAAACAGAAAAGCTATTGTCCATCCAAGGAGATGGGATTCAAAACCTCCCATTCATCTCTCAAGGCTCATGTACTATGTCAGGATTAATAAGAGACCGGGGAAGAATAACCAAAATGTACTGTACTCAGGGGCCCTAGGCCACCAGAGAAATTCACAATTGCTGAAGTTACATCAGTGGCAGAACAATTCTGCCTTTATTTCGTGCGCTGGCTTATTCTTCATTGTTTCTGTGGCCTTGGCCCTTCGCTGCCATTAGGAGACTGCAAGAGGGAACAGCCTGGGGCAGCGCAGCTACAGAGATCCCGATCTCTCATGTAGAAAGATACCACGTCCAGCGGTTTGCATTTCTTTCCTAGCTGCTCCATGTTTCCCAGTCAGTCTCAGTTGTTAGAAATACAGTAGAGCCCTTTAGGCACGTGGCTGTAAGCAAACCGCAGGCAGCTCTTCTGCTTTAAAAGCTGCAGAAATACCTCGTTAGCGCAGACTAATCCTGACTTAGCACCAAGGTGAACTCCTATAACCACCCTGCCGTGACAGCGTGGCACGTGGCGGGGGCTGACCTGCCTGCATCCCTGTCCAGTTTCCAGCACGGCCGCGTGCTCTTAACCGTAGAGCTGGTGATGCAACTGCACCATCACCAGAAGTTCACATCATCCCTTTCTTCAACGAATCCGAGATAACTTAATAAAAGACAGAAAAGTAGACCAAAAGTTTTCCAAAATGGTCTCCCAAGGCCAAGCACCCAAATTTCAGCACCAATGCTCTGTGCTGTGTCAATATTGGAAATAACAGACCACAGCACAGACAGGATGGGCTGACGGGTCAGAACGCAAATATTTGACTTTTAAACTGCAGAAGCTTGATCTAGAAACAATGACACAGCAAGAGAACCTCAGAGGCTGGAAAACCAGCAAATGCATTTTATGGCTACGTTCCCACTTCAATACTTCATCTGAACTCTACCAAATAAAAGCTATCGGATCAGATCTATATGCTCGCCAACCTATATAGCTATGCTGACTTCAACAGGCCTGTACTGATTCACATCAGCTCAGGATCTGGTAACAGATCACACTACTTGAAGAGTCTAATATTATCCCCCAGCCACCCACTCAGAGCACAGAATAACAGAGGCAAAAGAAAATGTAAAATCTGTTAAGATGCTTGTCTTCATTTTCTAACCAAGCTGCTTCTCCAGTGTTGGGTAAAGGAGTCCATTTTATGGTGTAACGTCTACCTCAGCTATAAAAAATTAAGGAATTGGTTTTTCATCCTGAGCCACTGGTTGAACTCTGCTGTAACACAGTCACACTCAACAATACCGCTCTTTTCTCCGAGTAGTCAGCAGCCACGATTCATCGCTAGTGACACTGTCAGACACCGGGTCAGGTCATGGAATCCAACAAGCCAGCATGGGGTCAAAACTTCAGCCTATACTCAGCTATAACAGAAGTCTCTGTCAGGCTTTTGCAGTCCTCTTTGCCAAAGAAATCTTTTATCTAAGAGGCTTTCCACTGGTTTTTATTAAAAGGGAGAAAAAAAAAAAAAAAAAGGTAAAAGCCAGCACCTCGGTGCACAGCCTGATTTAGACGATTTCATGGATTCCATCTCTTCCCCTCCCCGACAAATACAACAAGCTTCCGCACGGGGGGCCAAGCCTTTTTCTTTTTTACTGGTGCCTGCGCAGGCAGCTTGCCAGAAGCCAACTGACTGCATATAATGAAGGAATGTTGTGTGGTGAAATGCAAAGACAGAATTTGCAAAGATGCTTCTCAAGCCAGTTATTAACTATGATTCATCCCCATCTGAACTGAACGGGGAGGAGAAGAGTAATTCTAACATCTCATGTCCCAACCCTGCAGGATATCTGCATGCAGAACTCCCACGGACTTTCAGTATCAAACTTCCATCAACAGGGGAGTTCCAGGATCAAACCATCTGGATTCAGACAACGGATCCAGGTTGGGTTTTGAGCCTGAGGTACCTGGAGAGCACTGGAATGGTCGTTCTGGCAGGCCAGCTCCTGCTCCACTTCAGACACCTCCAGCAGGTTCCGCTCACCAACCAGTCGAGAGAGCTCTCCCACTACCGTCACGTGCTTCGACACCGTGCCCGACATCTTCTTGAACTGCGGGTAATTCTCCACAAATGCCTACAAAGGGGAAACCAAAGCAACCGGTTCTTCAAAAGAAAAGCAAGAGACAGCGGCTGCGTGCAACCCAGCGATAAATTGTATAAAACAACTCACACTGATATAAGCAAGACCAGCGCGGGTATACAGATGACTGGGCACCTCAATCCCAGGAGCCCACAGGATTTCTCCAATTACAAGGAGATTTCTGGAAGGGATGTACTTTTTATTTACTCTTAAAATAAAAGGATACAGAAAGTATCTCCAAAGACATCGCTGGGATTCTTTAAATCTCGAGCCGTGGCTGAATTATTAGCCTGTGGTCTGAGCTGTTGCCAAGTGACCCAGCTCAGATATAAAGTCCACACAGCCACAACAGGGTAAGCTTAGTACTTAAACCAGAGCTTTCTGCGATTCAATCGTAGGGCTCTGGGATTCCAGCAAGGTCTAAGCAGCAGCTTAGGGAGCAGTCAGAACAAGCGAGCTTGCAGACCACCCTGCAGTGGCGCAGAATCTAAGTGTCTCACCTTCAGTGAAGAACCACTGTCACAAACATGGTGGAAAAAGGAGGCTCCTGCTCCACAGAATAAGCACACCACAGAGATCAGAACCGTTGGTACTGACAGCATGGACTGCCAGCGTACAGACAGTAGTGACCTGCACTGTGCTGCCGCAGACGGGATTTTACAAGTCCAATCAGTTACGTGTAGATTGTCTGTACCTTCATATCTGCTATGGATTCCAGCTTCTGGTGCTCCTTAGGTTTCCTCCTCTGGAAATCCTCCATAAGATTCTTGATGTTACTGCCAATCTCCGCGAAGTTCAGGTACATGTTCTGCACGGAACAAGACAGGGATGTGAGAGAAAGCCCTTCCAACACGAGTCCTGATGCCACTGGAACAAAGCGGCGCTCTGTGCCCAGAACACTGAGGTGCCAGCGCACATCGTCTCCCCGAGACCCAGGCTTGAGCAAGCGGCTCTGCCATCGGTCCGGGTTTGAAATACAACTATAAAATGGACACGTGCTTTTATGCCAGATGCTGCTGGCATTACACATTGATCTCCACCACTGGCATAAGCTACAGAATACATCATCACCCCGATGCTCAAAGTCACTGGAAAATTCCTTTCACGTGGCAAAACCAAGAGTGGAACCTGATCCCCAAATTCAGCTACTCCTGAAGATCCCCACCGAGATACCTACGTTGGCGTAGAACTCGTCGTTCTCGGCAGACAGGACCACCTCTCGGAGATCCTTGCTTATCCCCGGTACCCGAGAGAGGTCGATGCGGTTGTTGTTAATGCCCAGCAATTCGTGAACCATAGCCTGGTACGTCCACTAATGGTGAAAGAGAAAGGCAAACGATGACCTCGGTAAGATAATAAACAGCACTGGAAAATTAACGGATTTCAGGCTGAACTCGGCCAAAGCCACTTTACATTCCCTTAGTAACACACAGGGGATTCAACGTGTGCATTTCTCAAACTTTTGTTAGAATGTTACAATGAGAAATAAATATTACTGCTGCTATAATCAGCCGGGCATCCCGTGGCGAGAGCACTGGCGCAACCACAAAGGAAAACCGCCCCGTTCCAGGGTGCTTCCCTGGTACGCTCAGAAGAAGAGCAGTGGGGATTAATATTCCCGTTCAAACAGCTCTGTTCACCACCACTATCCCCCCCCTCCTCTGCTGTGAAGGGACATGTATTTTTGGCTGCAGAGGTTCCACAGTTACAAACTGTACAATTTCCTACGTGCTCCTTTGCTTCTTACGCAGCAGTGTTCCTGCGCATCAGTCAGTCACTGTAGTTATCCTGGGAAGACTAATATTAACCTAGAGAGAAAACCGAAAGCTGCTCGGAGCACCAACGTGCCCGACGCTCCGCTGACACTCATCTGAATCCCTCTTCAGGATAGAAAATCTCTGCGTAACAGATAATGCTTTTGGTGTCCTGTGCCGAGTGCAGTCCCTAAATAAAGTCCTCTACAAACCCCGCGTGAGCTGGTTTCTGCCTGCCAGATCCCTCCAATAACACAAACATCACCACCACCTCCTACACTGCCAACGTTACAGAAGCGTTGAGGTTGCCCGGCTGCAGCTCCAGCCATCGCCTGATCACCAGACCGACCTGTGCCTAAGCGTACCCCACGGAAAGGAGACAAACAGACTGTTTGATGCCAGAATCTGCAGCACAGCAAAATAAAATAAAAAAAAAACCCCAAATGACAATAGCTACGTAGTAAATACGACACCCATCGATAACACGGAGGGAGAAGCACACCAGTGCAAGGTCGCTTGGTAAGTGCGTCCGTGTGCTGCCCAACAGCCCACAGAAATAAACCCTTGGAAAGGACACAGCCAAGACACGAGGACTCCAAATGTGAAGTGTGTCATACAGACGTGCAAGTGGCCTGGTTTCCCAGGGTGCTGGCTGCATCTGCCGCTGAAGCCAGCGCACACAATCCGTGCTCAACAGCCTGTAAAATCAGGCCGCGAGATAAAATACTTTTTACCTTTCAGATAGAAACCGTGCCCTGGTGTGAACTCCCACTCACTGCTACCGCCACGGGGCTCTGCGCGCTTCCAGAACTCACATTCCTATCTCAGCCCTTGCGCAAGCGCCAGATGATTCACCTGGTTCTGCAGCGGGGTGATGGCATCGTCAGACCGGTCCAGAATGAGAAGCAAAGGAGGAACCTCAGTGCGCCGAAAGTCAAACAGCTCATACTCTTTAGTGATTACTTGCTGTTGAGAAAGGGGGAAAAAAAAAAAAAAAAAAGGCACGTGATCTTACGTATACCCAGAAAATGCTTCCTCATAGTTTGGATACAGGTGAAGAAAAGGCAAAGAGCTGTTGTGCTGCTGTCTTAGGCTACACTGCTCACGAGGAAGTAACGCCCGCTCCCAGAAGGCACCAGGTAACCTACTGCAATTTATGGCACTTGCAGGAAATTGGGGTCCTCACCTGCTCTTTGGCTGGAAGCAGGCAGCAACGAGGGATGTGACCCGCCCAAAGCCATGCAACAGAGGAAACGACACAACTTAGAAGAATCGACAGAAAAAGGGGTATTTCTCTCCAACACATCAATATGGTAAAAAGTTCAACAAAATTTAAGCGCATTGCCAGACTTATTTCACACCACTGCAGGTTCTCACCGCACCTTCACGCATTCAGCAAGCCTCTTGGCTGCCTCAGACGAGAGCTGGTACCGAATCATGGGGCATTTCTTCAGCGACAAGAGCAGAGCAGTCAGCCCTTGAGTTGTCCTGGACAGCTGAGCCGGATCCCAGTTGCGACCCTAGAAAGGAAAGGCTGCGTTTAGTGCGGAGGCATCAGCCCCAAACTCTTTCTCACATAAATTCTTATTTCTCAGTTTTGAAGTCTTGTAGTAAGCAATGGTTTGACAGAAGGAGCAGGTCCGGAGGCCACAGTCCAGATTCCCCCGTGTTCCTCTCCTTGCCAGTCCTTGTAGGGGTGAGCTTATGGACCCTCCCCAGCCTGCCTGCTGGGCAGCCCACCACTGCACCCAGCTTGTTGTGGCTACCGGTCTCTCCGTTAACCAGAAAACAAGGCCCTGGAGGAGCATCAGGTTTTTTTTTCATACCTGGCAGCAGCCCAAGAGGTTGAGAGAAAAAACGTGTGGATTCACTGCAATGTAATCGCCGTAGAACTCCTGCCAACAAGGGAAAGCAAATAGAGTTACGCGTCTTGCCAACCCTTGTTCAGCCTACAAGAGTACGTGTTCCAGCATCAGCCACATCAACACGAAAACCCTACGTGGGGCACAGGCCCACTGACTCTGATCGCTTCTCCTTCCGCCGTGCCTAACCTCTCGAATCCCTACGCTCCTGCGGACAACTCCGCTGCCAATTTGGCGTCTGTATTTTTCAAGTATGTAGCTCTTTGTCAACACCACAAACATGCAGCAGCCTCGCGAAACATGGGTGACGGCAGAACCAGCAGCGGCTCTGACAACTGGAGGGCAGGGAGAAATGGGGGACGGAGGAGTTTTTATTTCTTTTACTTTTTAATCCCACGTGTACATTCATCTCTTCTTCCATCCGAGACTGTTGCACAGTCCATACTGTTCAAGAACTAGAGTCCTCCTGCTGCCCCACCTGAGTTTCTTAGCTTACACGTTCGCTTTGCTGGTGCTTTGGGATTAGGAGATCTAGTTAAAATATTCAAAATTCACCTGAACTTCAGCCACAACTTCCTGCTCATCAGCCTCAGCCAATGACTTGACATCACTCTTACTGATCACGTTACTGAAATCTGAAAGAAAACAACAGCGAAAGGACAGTCGGGCTCTGCGAGTGACACGTAACGCAAGACCACCAGAGAACAGCATGACCAGATTTTCCCCTGGAGGGGGAGCAGATCCCGTGTTGTGGTGTTCAGCAACACCAGGTACAGGCCGGTTGTAGCCAGTAGATTTATATGCGTAAAAACCCAGTAATATTCGACGGCTGACCACAGCGACAGCCACATCCCTGCTGAGCTCCTGGTGTGCCAGCAGGTCCCCACCACACCTGCCAAAGCCAGGC